AAAATTAACACAATGTAAAATTGCTGGAACCTCAAGGAGTAGTTGAATACGAAATTTATTTAAAAAAACAACAAATCATCAATCAATACAGAGATAAGATATTGCGTTCGCTACTGCTGTTGCAATTTTTGACAAACTTTTTTTTTTCGACATACTGACTTCGGACCTTTTCCATTCAACGCAGAACGGACAATCAGAACCAGAGGAGTGGGGAGATTTTTTTAATTATTTTTTCAATTCAACGCACCGTTTCCGAATTATAAGACCTTTTTTACTGTATCACCTCACACACCTCTTCTTTCCGAAATTTATTTTCCACATACGGACTTCGGACCTTTTCCATTCAACGCAGAACTGTCATACAGAACCAGGGGTGTGGGGAGATTTTTTCAATTATTTTTTCGATTTAACGCACCGTTTCCGAGTTATACGGCCTTTTTACTATAACACGACATACCTCTTGTTTCCAGAATTTATTTTCGACATACGGACTTCGGACCTTTTGCATTCAACGCAGAAGGAACATACAGAACCCGGGAGGGAGGGGTTGACATTTTTCAATTATTTTTTCGATTCAACGCACCGTTTCCGAGTTATAAACACTTTTTTATCCTATGACGTCACACACCGTTGGTCCCGATTTTTTTTTTGACATGCGGGTTTTGACGTTTTTCACTCGTTCACCATGGGAGATTTATTTGTTCACCATGGGAGATTTTTTGATACTTAAGAGTCTAAGCAAATACTGTTTTTTTTTCTTTCATATATTGTGACACCCCGCTCTGCGTCACCCACCGAGTGCTCTACTCAGAACCAAGGGGAAATTTGTTTATATTTCCAGCCATTTCCGAGTTACGAGCAAAAACCATTTTTTTTTCTTATACTGTGTGACATCATAGATCGATAACGAAGGCTTAACAAGGCCACGCGCTCTACCCCACGTTCCCTCCCTAGGTGTCCTGAAATTGCTGGGGAGACTCCTGAAGGCAGCAGAGAGAGAGAGAGAGAGATAAGCTCTCTATGAGGACAGAGTCACTCTATCTCTATCGCACACTATAACTCTATCTCTCTCGCACACAATCAGACAAAAACGACAGAAACGAACCTTCTTTTAAAAATACATGGGATTTATCATTATTAGAATAACCCATTTTAATTTAAAAAATTAAAAAAATTACAATGGGTTATTCTGATGACGAAAAATAAAACATAATTAACTGTATTATTCAAATAACAATAATGTGCAAAAGTTCTTCAGGAATATTGGCAAATTTATTTTGGAGGAAGAATCCCGTCAACGAACACTAAAAAATATTATTAGAAACCTTAGGTGGCCAGAAAACAGCCCCGATCTCATTGTCAGTCCTTTAGACATTTTTTTTTTACCTGAAAATTTGCAAGTATTGAAAAAAAAATACAGGACGAAATGCTTGATAATTTTGAATTTGTTTTTGAAGCAATTAATAGTAAATTGAAACATATTTTCAACTGTATCATCACAATCACTTGCATGTTGATTTGTAAAAATTGTAGGTATATTAATGTTATTTCGTTTTTAGTTATTCTCCTTATGTTGTTGTAAAGGTTAGTTATAAAAAGCGTTGTTTGTTATTTTCATAAGGATGAATTTTAATTTTTTTTAATGATTTTTTTTATTTTAAACATATATATTTTATGCCAGTAAATTTTGATGTCAAATGAAATAAAGGAAAAGTCGTACATTTGTATTTAAAGTTTCTTTCTATCTTTAATTATTAAACCTATAAGTGGATGTCAAAATACAAAAAAAAACCTGTACCTACATTCCGCGACGTACTAATAACCCACCTTGTATATTAAATAAATGTATCGTCATCATCAAATATTAAAAAAAATTATATTACAAGCTGTTTAAAATATCATTACGAATTTTGTTTATTTGGAAATATATTTTCTGCAGTATTTCAATATCAAAAAATGAAAATAGTAGGTAGCTAAATAACGGAATTATGATTAAATAACTTAATTGTAACACCGCTGCAGAATATCATATGAAGCTACATAGATATTCGTCGAATTCTTTAAAAACATTTTTATCAATACCTACATCATACATTTAAGTAAATACAGTAACGTCAAGAAACAGATATTGATAAAAAACTGTACAAAAGAAATCCGTAAGTACGCCTGGCAACATTACCAAAGATTTGTTTATATGTTGCTTGGATACGCGTAGGTATGCAGGTCGCTGCATTTGATTCTTCCTAAAATTCTGCTGGTGGTGTACTCTACCGGAAATTTAAAACTGCTGGCCTATTCCAGTAGCGGTCTGTGGCGATAGCTATTTTGTCTGTTGTATTAACATAGACACTTAGACCGAATAATATAAAATAGAATCTAATTCGAATAAGATTAAATATAAAGTTGTAATCGACATTCTTAAAATGAATTAATTTTTTTATTCAAATATGCGGAAATTTGAAAGATTTTAATTAATTTAATTTATGGCATATTTATGGATATATTATTTATTATAATTAGTTAAAAATTATCAAACTAGGGATATGGAACTATTTTAATTTTCCTTTGAACTCCATCTAGATTCTATATTTTGCTCCAATTTTTTCTCTTATTCAGGTCTAACTATAGGTTCGCTACAAATAATTTGTTGAAATTATGAGCACTTAAAATATTCATTCCATTGCAATGAACATATGCCGGCAAATTTATATAATACAAGTGTTAACAATTCTATATCTCTGTATAGAAAAAAAAATACACTTGTGATAAGGAATTATATCTCGCTTGTGTAAATTTTTCCTATGATTTAAAACATGAATTGTAACTTAACGTAATTATTAGAAACCCCCATAGTGGCCTCATATACTTTGTTAAACGATTTTACCCGCTCGATAAAATTTACAGACTAAAATTTTGTTCATGGATATCGCTGGCAATAAATGGAAAATTGCTTCTTGAGCTTCTTCAAAAACTGCCACAGAAACACAATTACTTTCTTGCAAATAGAACTGTTTATTAAATAATTGATAATAAACAGCGTACCATAGCAATTGTAGGAAAGAAAAAAAAAACCAACAACGTTCAATGAAGTCCAAGAAAAAAAAACAAAGCAAGCCAAAAATTTTTTTTTTTTATTAAATTCCAATAATTGTGATGATGTGATTATGGATAAAACTATATTGCATTCGTGTTTTAATTGGCTTTTATCCACTTAAGATTAAACTCTTCCGTGAATAAAATGCTACTTAAAATACACAATAAATAATTATACAGGGTGATTCATTAACAATGGGAAAGTCGAAAGCTGAATATACTACACGTGAAATGGTGACCATTGGCGCAAACATGCCTTATCCGAAAGTTGATAGTTTCAGAAATACAGGGTGTTGAAAGTTAAAATTTTAAATCGTTTTTTTGCGATTATTCTCAAAATATGTAGGCTAGGATCTTGAAAATTTGTGAAGCTATATTTTTTTAGGCGACGAATAAGATGCGTGTTGTAATTTCAACATTGCTCATAGAGGGCGCCACTTACGACCAATTTTACCGAAAATTTAGTTAATAACTTTTTACCCTGTATGTCTAACATGAAACATGATTCAAAACCTGAAATAGCAATCATTTTTCCATTAATTATGTATTCTTGTTTCATTTCGGTATCTCGATCCGCTTTCGAGAAAAATCGATTTAACGAACACTATGTTTTGATAATACGAGAAATTAAGAGCCAAACAAACCAAGTGTTTCTTCGTGTTATTACAACAATTAACAATAAAACAAATGAAATTCGTAATAATGATTTAAAGTCAGTGTTCGAAGAAATAACTTTCAACACTCTGTATTTCCGAAACTATTAACTTTCGGATAAGGCATGTTTGCGCCAATGGTCACCATTTCACGTGTAGTATATTCAGCTTTCAATTTTCCCATTGTTAATGAATCACCTTGTATATTTCAAAACCTAACAAAAAACCAATTTATAAAGATGCATTTGACTTCCAGTAAAGAAATGGAAGAAAAATAGGATACGCACTAAATATTTGTATTTGTTACCGACTCAAGAACAACAACGTCGCAAAAATTCTATTAGCCGAAGTGAAATATAATATATTAAATAATATGGACAAATTTTCTTGTTTCATAAACTTGCAAGAAAGATTAGAAATCACTAATCATTTTATTGTCTTAAAAGACTAATTTGCAATTATAAAAGTCAAATTCTTTTAGAACAACTTAAAAAATAACGTACAGGTCGGAAAAAGTAAACATTTTCTATATATTATTATCGATGCTGCAAACGTATTTAAGTTCTTGGACGTGAATTTTCTTTTAAAAAAGTAAACAATACACAATATTAGAAATTATAACAAAAACTTATTGGATTAATAAAACATGCAACTTATTGGGTTAATAAAACATCAAAAAATATTGGTACTTATTAAGAATTTATATATTTGTTTTATTTCATGGAGAAATTAAACTAAAGATATTGCTTAGAATAATTAATATAAGTAGTCTCAAACTTGTTGCAAATGTTTAATAGGTATATATTTTTTATTTTTTACTGATCGGCTTCACCCTAAACGGTTCAAAAGTGAGAAAACTGTAGTTTTATACCCCGGAGTTCGGGATGAAGTCGATCACCCTTTAACCATAAATTAAAAAAAAACTACTCTGCCTACGGTTTTGCTTCGGTCAGCAGTGGACAGCTTAATGAGTAACGAAGGTAAGTTTTAAATTCCATCAAAATGCAACTATCTGTTTTTTAATTATCTGAAAAAAAAAACGTAATTTTTTGATCGATTTCACCCCGTTTGACGGTATATCTTTTAGTAATAAAAATTTATAATCATGTGGGCAATTACGGACTGTAACGTAAATTGCGCATATGACATTGTTTCAAAAAACACCCACTTCACAATAGTATTTTAAGTATCACGCATTATCTTATATATATAGTTTTTATTTCACTCTCCGCTGTTACCAGTGCGAAGCTGAACACCAGCAAAGATGGATAACTTGCAAGAGATGTCCGATGTTCTGAGGAGAGGTAATATCAACACCTGAAAAACTTCTTGTTCATTTAATCCTAAATAATATTTTCAGTATCCTTGATCTCCATAACGAAACCTGATGGATTGGTGGATAAATTAAGTAAAGACAAACACAAGCCCAAGGATACTTTGTACATGGTACACACTTTAAGTTTACTATTTGGTGCGCTCAATATGCTTCCTTTGACTTTCTTCATAACGGCTAACGATGTAAGTACTAAATAATTGTTTTAAATACTTATAGATAATTTAATAAATAAAATAACTCGAATGTAGAGTTTCTTTTATGTTAATTATTGACTCTATAAATATATAAGTAACCTATTTATAGCTAATAAGTTAATAGTCACTAATCACATTTATTAGACATCTAAAACGCTCAAAAACTGTGTATGAAAGAAATTTGAATATTTTTAGATCATCTAAAATATAGGTTATAAAAATACAACAAAAAATTTTGTCTGGGAGATCTAAACCAACCTATCATAATTAAAAATTTGACGTAATTGGCAAAATGCTTGCACAATTCTAACAAATATAAATTATTTACTGAAATAGAGTAAAAGTAATATAAACTTTGATAGCTGTCTGATCTACATATGTACGAATAAACTTTACACCAATATATTTAAAAAATAACAAATTTGTATCACAGGACTAAAATACGTTTAGGTGATTTATACTTAATAGATACCTTTATCACATTTTTTAAAATTAAACGTTATACTGAGTGTTTCAGGAGGAATAGTCAATACTTCGGTATAGTTATAGTGTCGTTCACTTTGAATAAAAAAGTTAATACCTAGGCAATGTGTTCAAATCTCAGTGGTTACTGAGATACTGCAATTTCAATGTCGATTGCGTCGAGGGCTAAACAGATAAATTATCGAGTAAGCTCCCACCAAATAATTGACATTTAGCATTGATTTGTTGACGTATGTGTGTGTGAAATTTATTCACTTTGAATAGGCTGATATGGTGTTTTGTCATGGGTTTTGGTATGGGACAGCACCTGCTGATCTTAGAAAATATCAAAGACGATTTCCTAACCGAGTGTTACCTGCCAGATTCAAAAGCATTTATTCGAACATTTGACACACTACGAAATTGCGGGCTTTGTTCCAAGTAACGTGCAGTTGAACAAAGTGTGAATGAAGTAGAAAATATTCTTCAACCGGTACAACGCAGTCCATCTACAAGCAATAATCACCGTTTGTCTGACGACAACCCATCATATGCCAGTGTAGAATCAAAATTGTCAGCAAAGTTACTCCGTAAATATCTAGGCAGGAATGATTGACAATAAATTGATTGGGCCATTTGTGTTACCCGAATGTCTAACAGCGACAAGTTATTTAGAGTGTTTGGTTACAAGAGCCAGTATGATTTTCCAACATGTTGGTTCTCCCCATAGGTGACATATCTAAATCAAGCTTTTGGAGACCAGTAGATTGGTCGTGCTGGTCCCATCAATTGCCCAGCTAGGTCTCCAGACCTAACTCCATTAGATTATGGATTATGGGGAAAGTGATGTTTATAAAAAAAAATGTAATTACGCGTGATGAATTGATCGCTCGCATTATGGACATTGCAACGAGAATAAAGCGACGTCCGGAAAAACTGCACAACACAAAACGCAACATTTTCTTTAGAACAGCGGAGTGTGCGGAGTTTGACAGTAGAACTTTTGAACCATACCTTTAGTCCCTAAAATTTTGTATATCAAATAATGATTATTATTATTAATAAAATGATATTCGTTTGTGATTTATTTCCACTGGCCGTATCTCAGTAATCATTGTGATTTGGACACACATTCATATGAACTTTTTGATTAAAAATAAACGATATTATAACATACTAAAAAATTGACTATTCCTCCTGAAACAACAGAAATTGTAACGAATTGGAAATGTACACAAAGAATCACGAATGAAAAGTTACCTGACCAAACTTTGGATCATAAATAAAAATTAATTATTAATATAGCAAACAATAAAATAGTATAAAATTGTTAATATAAAGATTCTGAATATAAAATACGCAACAATTAAGGATATCACATAATATAAAATTGGTAATTTTAATTTAATTCACAAATACAAAATAAATTTTTCAAAAAAAAATGCATGACATCGACACTTGTTAATACTCAGTACAGTGAGAAAACATAATTTAAACCTAGAATAACGTATATCAAATAAAAGCCCAATATCCATAGATGAATCTGGTATGCATATTGTTGGCTTTACAACTACCTGGAGATGAGCTATAAAAAGAACATAAAATAAGGAATATTTTAATAATTAGTAATAGAATTGCATGCTAAAATAAAAGGACATTTGTAACAAATGTATTAGTTATAAGAAGTGCAGTGAAAAGTGTTGAAAAAAAAAAGGACATCCAAGGACTGGAATTTCTGTGAAGGGACCTCAAGAAAGATTAAGACCAGAAAAATCCAGAAAGGAGGAGAAACAAAAGTTTACTGATTAGTTACGGCTTGGGTTTTGTAAAAACTAGAAAGGAGAGAAGCAGCTCCAATAAATTTTAAATAAGTTCAAGAAATACAGTCAAGGAAGTAAATTAAACTCACCAGCAAGGTAGAAATTTGTTTGTTCTGAAAATCCAGAGAAAGAAAATTTGCCATCGAAAAAAAATTTCCGTAACCATGTACAAAGCAGTTTCCAGAGAGGTTTCCAGTGGCTCCATAAATGGTATACAGGACATCTACATAGTTTCCAACAAGGAAAGATGCAAGTAGCAAATAACAGGTACCTAAAATTGAAAAATAAAGTGCACTATAATAAAACTGATAGCTATAACCTAGAAATAATACATTACTAATGCATTAAACCTTAGAAAAAGGATAAATAATAACAACAGGACTTACCTGAACAAAATTGAATACAAGCAATTTAATCATAGCTTTAAAAACTCCAAAAATTTGATGAGCTCAAACAAAGTTATAAAAGGAACAGCCATTTTAATTTTAAGATGAATTTCAGTTTGTAAATAATAAGAAAGTATGCATTTTACGATAGGCAAAACACAATACACGGACAAGTGATTAAAATAGAATAAATAACAAATTACAAATATTTAAAATTTTTTTTAATGAAAAGCACAGTCCTTGTATTGTATAAAATTGTAGTAGAATAGAAAAGGTATAAAAATAAATAAAATATTCTTTATTATTGTTAAAACAAAAAAAATTTGTATCTAGAGAAGCCATTCACAATTTTAAGTCAACAAGTTGAAGTTTTGTTTTTGAGAAATCCAACTAAAAATTTAAATATTGTTTGTGTCTGAATGATGTAGAACCGACTCCTGAGATCTCAAATAAAACAAACATCTGAGTAACAGCTAGCAAGGGATAAAGAAAAAGTACAACGTAAAACAAAAGAAAGGTTTGTATCGAACAATCTAGTTAATCAAAACAAAATTAAAAAAAAAATTAAATAAAAAATTTTTTTTATTACAGAAACAAAACCAAAATAACGCAACACACAATACATAACACAAAAATTGGCAAAATTAATAATTCATAACAAATATTAGACATAAATTAATACATAATTTCTTAACAGTATATTTATGCGATTACCTATGTAATAAATAATACAATATACCAAGTATACAATATAAAATTAAACGTAACTCGAATATGATTAATGGTTCTATTCTGTAGTTTTCTCACTGTGCTCTAAATTTATAGTGATAAAAAATATCACAAGTTATAATAATAACGTTTACAGAAATATCTATATTATATATGTTGGTTATTATAATTAGCAAAAATGGTAAAAATAGGCACATGGATTCTCCTTTGAACTCCAACTAAATCCTATGTCTTGCTCCACTTGATTTCTCAATCCAAAAATATAAAATACCGATTTTCTTTTATCACTATTTATTTATAGAGGTTTGCGTGAAATAATTTATTAAAATTATGAGTACTTAAAATCTTTATTTTAATACATGTGTGTATGGTACTTAATACAAGTGTTAAAAATTCGATATCTCTATATAGAAAAAATGACTCGTGATAAGATAAGATATTAGGTACTAATAATTATTCAAAAATCTTTTAACAGTGGTACATTACCAAAATACTTTAAAATAACGCTTATACACAAAAAAGGTGATAAGAATTTGATCAAAAATTAGAGACCCATTACTGGGTTAAACTGTATAGCAAATTTGCCATTTATGAAAAGATGTACATATAATGTTACAAAAAATCTGATTGCGTCTCAACAACATGGTTTCTTCTGTTGCAGGTCAGTAGAAACTAATTTAGCTACTTTTGTTAATAAAGTTCGTATAACCTTCAATGAGGGAAAACAGGCCTTTGATCGGGTAAATCATGATATACTACTTTCCAAATCACATCAAGCACTTGGTCTGAGTGACCATCTAGTAATTTCCTTTTCAACATATTTACGCAACCGAAAACAATTTTTGAGACATATCTGGCCGGTTCTGGCGTCCCACAAGGTTCAAATTTGGGACCACTACTTTTTTAATTTTTATAAATGATTTAGCAAAAAGTATAACATCAGACTGTCTCATGCATGTTAATGATATTCACAAATATAAAATGATACACCTAAACGTAATTTATGTAGAAAACAAAATGCCCTTCAATTTAGATAAATGTAAAATCAAGATATTTATAGAGCCCTAACGCCTAAGCAATATGTTTATACAATGAATGAATGAATGAAATGCCAATTTTACTCGAAATCCATAAACGATATCAAAATTTTGCAACAGGCAAAAAATCTTCTAAAATAGTGCTTACATTTTTTAAAAATATAAATTCTGACATAAAAGAGTTACGGATAGCATAGGCACTAGAAAGAGTACATTCTGTATTCTGTATTCTCACCAAATTCTTTATTTACATTGCCCTTATATAAAGAATATGTGTATCAAATTTGAAGTTTCTAAGAAAAATAGTTTTCAAATTATTTGAAAAAAACTAGGTTATCTATTCTATATTTAGAAGGCTATATCTGACTAGGCGTTCACTTTTGTATAGGTAAGTTAAGCTAAATAGTCTTATTTCTATCCAAGCAACCTGTGGTCCATCTTTTTCAGGGACACCCTGTATAATAGACTATCTGTAACCTGTTTGTCTCTCACTGAAAATAAATAAGTAAATAAGGAATTATGTCTTACTTCCCTAAATTTGAACAACTGGGATACTCCCATATATCTCAATTTTGTAGCAATTTTGCTAAGAGTAATTTTACCCTAAAGGTAAAATCTATTGCTTATTGAAAGTACCTATCTATTTTTTACGGTACCGGATATGAGACATTAGAATCACCGGAGAAATATTGATGCCTACTTCACTATCTATTTTTTTGTAGTACTGGATGTATAAATTTAGAGACACGACAAAGGACACGATAGATCTGAATAATAAGACGACCCTTGAAAAATATTTCGTGTCAGGAAGTCTGGTAGTCCAAACTATACCCTCTATAGCGACTATGTTACTAGCGGTAACTTTCGGACATAGATTTAAAATACAACCCAGGGTTATTATATCGTTGACTTCAATAAATATTATTTTTGTTGTATTTACTGCCTTCATAAAGGTTAACACAGACACATGTAAGTATACAATTTTTTTACAATGTATGCGAAAGAATTAGTACGGGAACAACTCCTACAAATAATTTTAACATATACCGACGTATAGATTATTAAGTCATATAATAATGAAAGTTATGTATTAACCTATGCTAATAGGAGTTTTTCTTGGTCAGTGTATTTTTACAAAATCAGTTATAATGATGTACCAATAATTTTTATGGTAATATAACGAAAATACCATTTTTTGTTATGATCTACAAGTCTGCCATTTTCTTTACCGTCTTCTTATGTATATTTTAATTCTACACGTGTATTATTATAGACTGTCTGTGTTAATATGATTATATGAACTAAGTATACCTTGTGTTATTCAATCATGACAGAAAGCGTACAAAATAAAATTCATTAAAACAATTTAAAAGACTGTTTGCTTTTTTTTCGAAAACGAAAGGGTGGGTGATCTTTGACAAGAGTGTAAAATAAAAATATAGTTGTACATAGGAATGTCATACCAATATATGTCAAATCCTGATCTCAAAAAAGCTTTGCCTTAAAATATTTCTAGCTTGCAACATAACAAACGGAACGCCCTGTATAACTTGTTTAAAAACTAATCAAACCTGGCTAATTAAGGCTTCTGAAAACAAACGCCTAGTAAAGTTTTGTACGAGTGCAGGCAAAATTCAGATAAAAGAACTTTAACGACCTGTTATCATGAAACAAAAAGATGATAAACTCATAATTCATAGAGAAAAAAATCTTATTTTCCATATTATATTACCCCTAAAATTTATGTTATTGTGGAATATTTTCTATACAGAACGTTCAGTTACTAATCGGCCAAACAAAATAATCTCTACAATAAACGGTTAATATTTCAGCTAAAAATATATTCTTCGAGTTGGTTTCTGAGAAGCATTTACTGTCAGTATTGTTTATTGGATTTAACATATAAATGCATTAAAATAATCAACAGCTTTCCTACGGAGTTTTCTCTTAAATATACAAAAGGATCATTTTACTCATTCTTAAAATGATTCCTTCTTTGGGGTAAAATGATCACTTTGGAAAACGACGGAAAATTATTTGCTACGCATAACAGTAAACGTACTTAAACAACAAATTTCTTTTGTCAAAACAATTCGCACTGATGTGGATGCTAATCAAAAGTGTGGACATCTAATTTTTTCAATAATCTATTTTCTTATACTCCGTATTATGTGGCTTTGTTTTAAAATAACTATTGCGATTATTGAGAATCTAAAATGTTAAAATGTTTTCTATATGGAGTGAAATAATCCTGGGATCATTTTACCTCATAAGGTGGAGATAATATTATTTCATATAGGTAGATTTTGAATAAATAACCTAACCTAAGATTGTACATACAAATTGATCAATACCTATTTTGACACACAAAACAATACCATGCAAACAACTGATTCACTGTTCCTTAAAAGCTTCAGTTAATGTTTATGATATTTTAAGAAAATAAAGTAAATATCACGTCTACAGTTATAACTCTTGCTATAAAAATAATCGTCTTCTAATATTTTCACCCAAACCTGCTACACTGTAAATAAAACGAAAAAGTGAATCCATTGATTGAAATTATTGAATCAATATTGGGCATATTGATAATTTTACACATTTTTGATAATATTGAACTAAAACTGATAGCTTCACTCATAAAATTTTAGGTGTACCTACTCATTTCACTCAATCGGGTGTGGTCGGAAATTGATACAATATTGAGTGAAATTGAGTGAAAATAAGTCCATAGTTTTGTTTGTAGGCTTCCGTGGCTGCTGTTAATGCACAGTTTCAAAATAACTTCCGAAGAAGAGAACGATATGTCTCTCGAAACGTCAAGAATTGTAAATCGACGACGTGGCAACCAGCCCGGAAATCATTCAACCAAAAATAAATCCAATTTTTCTTACAGTGTACATAGTTTCTTAGAAAATGAAGGGGTTTATTATTTTGCTCACAGGGATCAATTCACCCATGTCTCTAATACCTAATGATAAGATTCCTCCCCTGTCAAATTATAGAAAAATTAGTCGACGAAATTCTCCCAAATTTTTCAACTCCAACATCCCACTTTTCGGAAGTAAAGTAAGAAAAAAATTATTTGAACTTCCTCTCCCAGTAATTGAACACTCTGTATAAGTACAACCTTTTATATTTTGACAACTAAGATATTTTTTAGGGCAGGTGACATTTTTTGTGCTCACTCTTCTGGGAATGGCTCTTATAACGGGTAAAAAGGAACCTCTAAAAAGGAACCAAGAGATACTGAAATAAGTATTTTTTTTAGGTGCCATTAACCTGTTCCAAGTCACCTCTACGGTTATTATATCGAAATTCCCTCCAGTTTATATGAAGACTTTTTTATTCGGCCAGGGAATGGCGTCGATTTTCAACGCAACCTTGCAAATTATATCTTTGGCTCTTGGAACCTCCACTGAAACTTCAGCACTTTTCTATTTCATTGCAGGCACCCTAGTAATCTTTCTAACCTGGGTATTATATCTGCTCGTTCAGCACATGACCTTCTACAAGTATTACATGCAGATAGAGCTGGAAGATAAGAAGAAGAACCACTCGAAAGAAGACATTAAGGCTGCGTTCTTTCGAATATGGCCCTGTTTGGCTACAATGTGCCTAATATTCCTTAGTATGAGCCTGACTCATCCTTGCATTACCACTTTAGTCGTTTCAGAGAACTATGGCAATGGGAATAAATGGAACGGTAAGAGATATGAAACATTTTTAATTTACCATATTCACTTCGTAACATTCGCTAATCAAAGTTAGCTGACATTGTTTGTGAACAATTTATGTTCACGAAAGGTATGTTAAAGTTGCAGGTAACTTTTGCCGCTGTCAAAGTAACAATTATTGCGTGGCATATAGGATTTTTTATATACACAGATATTTCAAAGTTGTTCAGAAAACCTTAAATTTTGTTCAAATGAATGAGACCTGTCACTTGAAAAGGCGGAAAGTCTAGATTTCTAGATTAACAGCACTTCACAGCACTTCAAAAGACAATGTTGATAACATTGATTAAATTGTCATGAGAAATCGGTAACTGTCATCTCCATCTCACATATCTTGAACTTTGTGCAGGATAACTGCAAATTAAATAATAACGCTTCAAGAAAGAATGTTAACAACATTGTCTTTTGAAGTGCTATTGAAGTGCTGTTAATCTAGAAATCTAGACTTTCCGCCTTTTCAAGTGACAGGTCTCATTCATTTGAACAAAATTTAAGGTTTGCTGAACAACTTTGAAATATCTGTCCAGAAATTTTCTCCATTATCAGATTTGTGAATAGTAGACCAAAGCGATTCAAAATATTTGGGAAGAATTTCTCTATCCGACTTACAAAATTCACTGGATCAAAGTTGCTTCTCAGGATTTCAAATTGAAAAAGAATATTTCACTAACGAAAAAACTAGGTAATATATTGAAGGTTACTGACTATATTTAAAGTACGATGTTTTTTTTTGGCTGGCATGACTCTGCCTGCTGTCATCATGAACGTCTTAAGGCCCGTCCTCATATCCCACAAAACAATGTTATCAACAAAGTTATTCAATATGTTGGCGAAATTTCGATAAAAAGTAAAAGTAATTTATTTGTTATGTCGACAAATTATTTGTTAGTGGTCAGTGAACTGTAGAGATCAAAGAATGTTAGAAAACCCTGCTTTGTAACATGTTGCAAATGCGTCATGGGCGTCCGCAGAAAGATTTCTCAGAGTGGGCCAAATCGAAATTATGGACGTGTATTTAGGAGAAGTTTAAAACATGGACAGGCAGTACAAATCTTCTCTCAAACGCGTTTACGGTTATGGAAATGCAATTTGTTGGTTTATACTGCAATTAATCAGCTAATCTAATTTTATTTTATAATTTTTTCACGTGGAATCGACTTCAAAATTTGAAATCAATGTTTTTGATTGTTTTATTTTGTGGACTGTATAATATAGAACAAACTTAAACTGAACATACAATATAAATAGTAAAGATACAATACTGAGGGAAAGAAAGAATGTCTGCCTGCACTTCTCTCTGCCACAGACAAAACTCGACTCTCCTTATTGTTCTGGCTACACGTCCCCTCCCTTCGCGCACAGGGATGCCACACTGCCTCAACATGCCGCCCGCCTTGAAAGCATCTGGGCTTTCAATTAATGAAAGCGAATATTGACTTATGAACTGGGCAACACACACACACGACCCACACCGCGTCTTACTTCTCCACTGGCAGTTTTTACATCGACTACCCTGGTGACTCCATCGTTGCCTGGGTGAAGAGCTGTGACTCTGCCTAACAACCAATTCAGGACAGGAGCGTTTTCATTTTTTACTAACACTAGTGAGCCTACTTGTAGCAACTCTTGAGATCTCTGCTTCCATTAGGTCCTGGTTTGTAATTCTGCAAGATACTCTCGCTGCCATCTTGACCAGTAGTGCTGCAGCATTGATTGCAATAGTTGAAATTTACTCAAACGATTTTCAGGAACATCCATGACGTTTCTCTCAGGAAGTGCTGTTAGCATTTTTCCAATTAGGAAATGTGCCGGCGTTAAGGCTGTGACGTCGTTTGGATCAGAGGACATAGGGCAGAGGGGTCGGGAATTTAGGACACCTTCAATTCGAATTAGCAGTGTACTGAATTCCTCAAATGTTAGAGAATTATTTCCTACAATCCTTTTTATATGAAATTTGGTACTCTTAATACCCGCTTCCCAGATTCCTCCGAAACTAGGCGACCTCGCAGGAATGAAATGCCATTTTATTGAATCGTTTGACAATTGATGACTAATGTAACTTGACTTATTTTCTAAAAATGTATACAATGCCTTCAACTCATTATTAGCTCCTACAAAATTTAGAGCATTATCCGAGTATATGTTCGAGGGTTTGCCTCTACGGTTTATGAATCTACTCAATGAAGCTAAAAATGCCTCCGTAGTCAAGTCCGATACCAGCTCTATGTGCACGGCCTTGGTGCTCATACACACAAATAAGCAAATGTAAGCTTTAATTAATTTTGCTCCACGAGTTTTTCGATCCTTTAATCGAAACGGACCACCATAGTCAATTCCAACATTACAAAAAGGCGAATAATTAATTACTCTCACGTCAGGCAGATCACCCATTAAGTAAGTGGTATCTGTTGGCTTTGTCTTAAAACATGTGACGCATTTTCTTATAATGCCCTTGCAGGCGTTTCGTCCTGATATGGGCCAAAACCTTTCTCGAATACTACATAACAACATTTGTGCACCACAATGCAATAATCTTTCATGTTCTTGGCGCAAAATTAATTCTGTTAAAATACCCTCTTTTGGCAATATTATGGGATGTTTTTTTTCATAAGGTTGAAGAGAATTTCTTATTCTACCTCCTACCCGAATAATGTTATCCTTTAAAAACGGATTTAGACATAATACTTTACTTTTCTTGTTGATTTCCTTTTTATTTAATAAACTAGAGTATTCATTGGGAAAACATTTTTGTTGTACGTTCCGGATGAGAATGAATAAAGCGTTTTCTAATTCATTAGGCGTTAATTCACCTAACTGTCTTAAATCCCTTCGTAATTGAATGTTAGTAACGAACCGTAAGATATATGCTAAAATCCTTTGAATCTTTCTCAATGAAGAAAATTTATTTAACAAATCAAAATTGTTATTTGAAGTAAATGTCACAGTGGCGGCGCAAGAGCGTTGTTCTGGTATATCTAAATCTGACACATGATCTGTTAATTGCCATTGCGAATTATCAATTTGAAACCACTCGGGCCCGTGCCACCATAAATTGCAATTAACTAAAAAATTTGGCGTTGTACCGCGTGAAAGCATATCAGCGGGATTTTCGATAGATTTAACGTAGTGCCAATCTGAGATATCAGTTATTGATTGAATTTCTGAGACTCTATTTGCTATAAAAGTTTTCCATCTATTTGGAGCTCCTCTTATCCACGAGATAGTAATTAAGGAGTCTGTCCAAAAGAAAAACGCGTCAAAATTAATTTCTAAAGATTCAATTGTTTTTTTTTGCCAAATTTGCCAATAACACGGCTCCACACAACTCTAAACGTGGCAAGGTTATTTGTTTAAGAGGCGCAACACGCGATTTTGCGCACAACAAATGTGAAATATATTTTCCTGATGATGTCATACACCTACTATATATGCAGGCTCCGTAAGCCTTTTCCGAGGCGTCGCTGAACCCATGAAATTCGATTTTCACATAATCGGAAATAAAAGCATGCCTTGGTATTTTGAAATTATTAATGACTGCTAATTCACCTTGAAATTTGTACCATCTTGTATGTAAATCATGGGGCACTGCATCATCCCACGATATTTTAAGTTTCCATAAGTCTTGAATAATTAGTTTTGCAACAATTATTATGGGTCCTAACAGCCCTAACGGATCGAAAATCTGACATATTATTGACAAGATATTTCGTTTTGTTGTTTTATTCATTGTCCTAAAATTCATAATTGAAAACTGAATAGAATCGCGATTAGAATTCCAATATACGCCAAGCGTTTTTGTCGGCCCGTGGTCACCAAAATGTAAAATACCAACTTCTAAATTATTATTAACTTGTATTTTATTTAAAATGTTTTGATCACTTGAAAGCCATTTACGGAGGTCGAAACCCGCGCTAGCTAATATTTGTGAAATCTCCTCTTGCAATTGTAGTGCCTCCGCCACTGTGTCGGCACCCGTTAGGAGATCGTCCACATAAAAATCGTCCCTTATAGTTTTGCTAGCTAAAGGGAATTTTATTTCATTGTCAATACTTAATTGTAACAAACATCTAACGGCTAGATACGGCGCAGATGCTGTTCCATAGGTGACTGTATTACACTGATAACATTTTAATTCTTTACTGGGGTCGGTACGCCAAAATAGTTTCTGATATTTACGTTGGTCTTCATTTATAAGGACTTGCCGATACATTTTTGATACGTCAGCTGTTAATACATATTTATATTTTCTAAATCTAATTAAAATAGAAAATATATCTTGCTGCAGTGTCGGCCCACTGTATTGCACATCATTTAAAGAAACTCCTGTGTCTGTTTTCGCTGAAGCATCAAATACTACACGGCATTTTGTTGTGATACTTGATGTTTTTATTACCGCATGATGAGGTAAGAAGTAGCCTTCATCATCTTGTTCAACATTTTCAATTTCAGACATGTGGCCTAAATTCACATATTCTTCCATAAAATTTACATACTCGGCCTTTAAAATAGGATCCTTATTTAATTTCTTTTCTAATGTCTGAAATCTACCAAACGCATTGTTGCGAGAGTTTCCTAATTTGTTTAAAGAATTTTTAAAAGGAATCTCTACTATAAATCGACCTGTACAATCGCGTTTAGTGGTTTCCTTAAAGTGTGTTTCACAGTATTTCTCATCCTCAGATAATAATAAATTTTTATTGTTCGTAATTTCCTCTATCTTCCAAAAATTTTCAATTTCATTATTAATTGAGTTTTCAACGTTAATGGTTAAACAACTAACAGATGATTCATTGCCTTGTGTATTTGAATATAATGTGCCTGCAACTACCCAGCCTAATTGAGTATTCTGCAACAGTGGTAAGTTGCAACCAAGTTGTTTTTGACCCGAGCATAAAATAGACCAAAATACACTTGATCCTAACAAAATGTCTATTTCCCCGGTTTTATTAAATCCTGGGTCGGCCAGAGGTATATTGCTTGGTATAGTTAATATATTTTTATTGAACGACCTTAAAGGTAATTGATCGGTTATCCTAGGAAGAACTAGACACTTGATACTCATATTAAACTTATTATGACATGACATGATTGTAATACTAACTTGTTTATTAATGTTTGCCAAAGTTTGACCTACACCTTGCACTACATGATTAACATTTGTTTGAGGTAAATTTAATTTTTCACATACTTTTTGAGATATGAAATGACTCTGTGAACCGCTGTCGAGTAAAGCGCGACATGTAAAATAATTGTCATTATGTTTTATTTTGATAATTGCCGTAGACAGCAGAACCTCTTCGCACTCATTAGACGTGGCAACGATGTGCTTGGCACTGTGACTAGATATCGAAACAACAGGTGGGGGAACATGCTGGACGCTGCGAGCTTCAGCGGCAGGGCACGTGTTATCCACATTCCTGGTATGCTGCAATTCGTCCATCTCTTTCGCATGTTCTTTTTTATTCGAACTGTCGCTACCGTTGAACCCTTCTAAATGCAATAATGAATTGTGCGACTTTTTACATTTGATACATTTTTGGGACTTACATTTCCATGATGGATGGTTTTTACGTAAACAGTTTAGACATAATTTTAACCGTTTGCTCGCTGAAATTCGGTCTTCTGTTTTTAATTTTAGAAAGGCTTCACAATAATATATCAAATGATTTTGATTACAATAATTACATTGATTTTTATTTGATTCTATTGCGGCAAAACTACTACTTATTTGTTTTTTTATTGTAATTTTGATTTATCGATTTATTTTTATCGTTCTTTGACGCTTCAAGTTTTTCTAATATTTCACATTTAGACCTTAAAAATTCATTTAAATCTACCATGTCTGGTAACTCACTTCGATATTTATATGATTCCCAATCGCGTCTTGTGACTGGGTCAAATTTATTACTTATTATGTAAATTATTAGGCGATCCCACTCGTCCGTTTTTTCACCTAGCGTTTTTAATGACCTTAGATGTTTTATAACATTGTCATACAACTTACGTAATTCTGTGTAAGATTCTTTTACTACACTAGGGTGCTCAAATATTGCCTTTATGTGGTTATGGATTATTAATTTTTTATTTTCAAACCTATCTAAAAGTAACTGCCAGGCGTGTGAGTAATTTGCCGCAGATACTTCAATTGATTTTATAACCTGCACGGCATCTCCTTCTAATGCTGATCTAAGGTAATAAAACTTTTGAATGTCAGATAGTGACTCGTTATTATCAACTAAAGCCGCAAAACTATCTTTGAATTCCAACCAGTTGTTATAATTACCATCAAAACCCGGCAACCTTATAGTTGGTAATTTAATCATTGATTGAGATTGAAGGTTTATATTATTATTTCTAACCGAGGCTGCTACTACGGACCCGGCCACAGACACATCTGACATTTCATTGTATTTTTTACATGTTGTATTTATGTCCGCGGTTAGTACAAAAAATAAGTTTTCAAACTGTTCCCTTTCGGTCGCACTAGTTTCGGCTTCTTGGGGATCTAGAATTTCTATTTTTGTTTGTAATTCATTGAACTCGTCCCATGAAGCCTCTATCTTATTTAGTCTTGCACTTAATTGTGCAATAATTCTCTCATTTAAGTTATTTTCGTCTACATTCTCATAATATGTTTTTAACCTAGTAACACTACCCTTTGCAATGCCCCTTTTTATTTTAAGGGCCGATAGTGATTCCTCTGCCATTATTATCTAAATCGAATTGAATGTGAGGTGTGTAAAAGGACTTACTTTTTTAGGACTGAAGGGCACACAGCACAGCACACTGCTTCTTATTTCTTCCCCGCCTTGCCTCTCACTAGCCAACCTCCGGATCGACTGGACCAATGTTTTTGATTGTTTTATTTTGTGGACTGTATAATATAGAACAAACTTAAACTGAACATACAATATAAATAGTAAAGATACAATACTGAGGGAAAGAAAGAATGTCTGCCTGCACTTCTCTCTGCCACAGACAAAACTCGACTCTCCTTATTGTTCTGGCTACACGTCCCCTCCCTTCGCGCACAGGGATGCCACACTGCCTCAACATATCCCGTTTATTATTACACGTTCAAAAGCTTCAAAATAATTAATTTTTTAATGAAAAAATAAAGAAGAATAAATAAGAAAATTATCTTGTTAACAGGAGCAACAGAAATTCATAAATAATTATGTATATAAAAATTAATTTAATTAATCTCCATCAAAATGATTTCTTTGTTCAAAAAACTTATAGGTACATTTTATTTTATAAACTATTGTAACTATTTTATAAAAAATGGTAACTGTAAAATGAATGCATAAATTTTTGCTTGTCGACGATTAAACTTTTATTGTATAATATATACTATAATTTTTTTTCGTAAAAAATGGGAATTTTTTTATTTTTTTTTTCAATAAACGAAAGTCATTCTGAAATAAGCACGTCCAATTTTTGTATTGAAAAAGTATTGATCATATAACAAATTATTTAATCAATAATTTTATAACAAATTAATTAACAATTTTTAATATTTACTATTCGGTTTTAACAACATTATTCTGTATTATCCACTTAATAAGGTACGATTGAAATGCAGCAATTTTAGTTGTGTTAATTAATTTTCTAAATATTCAGATATTGCATATATACAATTTTTTTGTAATTATATAAAAAAATGAATTTAAATTAGTCATATTTATTTTGAAAATTGAGAAATTTAAACAAAATTTTTTTATTCATATATTTTTTTCATTAAATATAAATTTTTCTTCAACATCATGTGTAAGTATTGACACCGCAAAATTTTATCGTTTAATTTTGTTGGACAAGCAAAAAAAAACGATAATTTTGTCGGACAATTAAATTCTCATTGTCAGATTAATATTGCATTATTCTAAATAATGACGCTTTTGTCCGACAGCTAGTAATAACCAACCATGGTTGCCGTTAAATCGACATCTTCGGGGCGTCGGACTGCAAAAACTTCTCAAGAATTTTGTCGGACAATAAGATACTTTCATTTCAAATCTTATTACCAAACGCTCCCAGAAAAATCAGCTTGCTGGTTGTCACCAATCATAATGTCACCAAATCAACATATTTGGGGTGGTGGACAAACTCAAAATGGCAAAATTTTTGTCGGACAAATTTTTTGGGGGGTTTAAAAAATATATATCTTTCATTTAAACTTAAAAAAAAGTGCTGGTCATAACATTCCATGTTTATGCCAGATTGACATGTTTTCCTGTAAATCACGGGAAAACCACAGTTGAATTTTCCTCGTAGTCAAATCTTGGGAGACTCGTCAAACTTAAGCTGCACGCAAAGTTACAGCTTACTGGTAATAATTTTTTTTTGTACGTGGGCCCGTGGACTAGTATCTTATTAAGGAATTCACTGTAATAAATATCTAACCACATCTGGAGTTCCTCGGAGGTCCAAACTTGGCCCCTTGCTCTTTCTTTTGTTCATTGATGATTTAAGCTACCTTATACAGTCGCACAAAATTTTTTGCGGATGGTTTAAAAATATACTAACACATCGAAATGTAAAATAGTAATATTCACAAAAAAAACAGTTTTTTTATAAATATGAGTATGTCATTGGCAATAATATACTGTCACACTACACATCAGTCAAAGATTTCGGAATAACTTTTGATCATCAGCTGTCATTTAATATTCATATAAACCTCAAAGTTTCGGAGGCAATGAAATGTCAGAAACTGTAAAAGTTTTAAGGACATTAATTTATTGAAAATTTTATATTTTTCTCTTATACGTATATAGTTAGAATACGGATGTTTGAATTGGTACCCCTCATACATTTCTCATGTTTACGCAGTAGAAAGAGTGCAAAGGAGATTTTTAAAATATTTGGCACTAAAAGAGAATATCCATCTGAAGTCACCACTATACATAATGAGTAAAAATTTTAATAGCATTGCACACTTATGTGATATTAACAACTCTTCAATGAATGAAATTATTAAATTAATTCGTTAGTAAGTATGTTTTGATAAATAGTAATGTAAGTTATTTCCTCCTCAATATTTTCCATTTGTTTATATGAACATAGAGAAATTGTGAATCGTGTTTGCACTATAATTGTGAATATTTAAGTTTTGCTTTCAATACGAAAAATGTTCTAGGGAACTTTTTATATAATTATTAAAAAGCCTTAATGATACTTAAGTAAAAAAAAATTATTATTCCAGAGAGAAATGAAATTTTCTACCGCAGTATTAGTTATGGAGATTTTAGCGTTATAATCTGATACTTTATTTATTAAATTTTACTATTTAAATAATTTACCTCTATCCGGAACTCAATAACATGAGATATAGGCCTTTAAATGCTGCTTTGCCGAACTACAATAGTTGGGAAAAGGATGATGATTAATTAGATTAGAATGTATTAAAAATATGCTATGCCATTATTTCTGCTTTCGGATATATCCTTAAAATAGAATTAACTTTTTTAACGTCAATCTCTTGAGCTATCCTTCTTAATTTTTGTCATTAAATCTATTGATTATGTTTTAAGCTGAGCACCCTCTCTGATAATATTCCAACGCCTCTAAAACCATTAAGAACACCCATTTCTTTCATTGAGAATGTATCAGACGCCAGTTTCGAGTTAAAATATTGAAGTTTTTGAATTATTTTCAGCAATTTTTTTCAATAATTAATTAGTTAATTAAACAAATTGTTTGACATGTATCTATGTAAGTGTTGCAAGTATATACTATTATTACCTACTTTTACTGTTACTTCTAATTAAATAATTATTTCTTCATTTTTAGATATGTACTTTGTACCTACCATTACATTCTTGTTTACTGAATCGTGTTCACAGTTTGGAAGGTTATTGTCTCGGCCCATAATCACGGTAATATTTTTAAAATGATACTCAGTAATGCAATACTCATTAGCAACAAATTCTCGTTTATAGAAATCTAGTGGTCCCTGGATAGTAGGCTTTGTCATTCTCAGGATGATAGTCTTGGTACCTCTGGTGTGGTTTTGTAACGCGCAGCCAAGGAGCCACCTTCCAGTTCTACTGCCACACGACTGGCAGTACATTCTGGTCCTCGTATTATATTTTGTGACTTCCGGATTCATAATTAACGCTTCCATTCTCAGCATCCCGCGGTAAGTTCAAGAAAGACAGTCCAGAAAGTAGAAGAAATGTTATACAAATTTTTTTTAGACTCGCAAAGGAAAAAGTAGACGTGGCCTACTTGCTCTTGCTTAGTACCATAGGAGTAGCTGCGGGTGTAAGTTCTCCCGCTAGTTTACTAGCTGTTCGTATACTGTGATATTATAGACTATGCCTATTTACTCATCGACCTTGACTCACAATCAGCTGTACCTTTTAAACTTTTCAATAATTTCTCATTACTTCTAGGTCGGAGCAATAGAGTAATTTACAAACGTTTTCTTCAGCTGAACTACGGATTTTCTATACAGGGTGGTCCCGAGGTAATGGGCCAAAATTCATGGGTGGATTCCCGAAGCAAAAATATTGCGATTTAGCCGAACTTACCTTAGTCCAAAAATTGATAGTTAAAGAGATACAGGGTGTTAAATATAAAATATTATTTTAGTTTATTTCCATTTATTTCGTAATAAATGCAAATATCTACACAAAATTTTGGGGTTTGGGGTTCTTTGGATAGAGGAATTGAAATTTGTTCACATTTTGGTTATAGTTCATAAAGGGCGCCAGCTGCCATAGATTGAAGGTGTTGGAAACGACATAACTTTTTTGTACTTAAGGGTATCCCCCCACCCTTTACCTTTACCTTTAAAATAGTAAACATTAGTAAAAAATATGCCTTTTTGACAATAATTGCTCAAAATGTCCACCTCTAATTTCAATATATTTATCAACACGTTTATTAAAAGATTGTCTTATTTTAAAGTATAAATCCTTAATGCGAAATGACTTTGCAATATTTAAAACCTGCTACTAAAGTTCTTCTCAAGTGTTTATAGTTTCTCCATAAACAACTGATTTCATGTAACTCCAAAAACGAAAACCTCGGCATTCTATCTCACATTTATGTATACGAGTATACAATTTAATTTGTAAGCTAAGATGTAATTTTAATTAGATACGAATAATACTTAATAGAAATTAGCATACAAATGACAGCAATAAGACAAGTGGAAGACGTTAATTATATGATTTTCGTCCAAATCCTACTTAAGAAACTTTACCGCTAAATTAATAATACCTGTAGGTACTTAATTGTAATTTAATGCAACAGCATTGGAAGTTTCAAAGCCAAATATCTTGAAAACGGTGCGAGATAGCTACTTTAATAAAGTATACCTTTTTTGTGTAAAAAAAGTTGAGAAATAAGAAAGATGAGATACCTTAAAGTACAAAAAGGTTATGTCGTTTTTAACACATTCATTCTACTGCAGCTAGCGCCATCTATGAACTTTAACCAAAATGTGAACAGATTTCAAGAACTCCAATCCCCAAAATTTTGTGAGGATTGGAGTTGTGCATTAAGGAATAAATTTAAAAAAACTGAAATAATATTTTACACTTAACACCCTGTATCTCTTTAACTATCAACTTTTGGACTAAGGTAAGTTCGGCTAAATCGCAATATTTTTACTTGGGCAATCTACCCATGAATTTTGGCCCATTACCTCGGGACCACCCTGTATATACATCACAAGTTGTATATAATACCAATTACGTTAATTGGTAAGAGTTAAACAACTTATCAGAAAATCTTTAAAAAGTGTTTTTTACATTAAGTACTCTGTGATATATAGGTATGTAGTGGAGAAAGACAGAAACATACTGTTCTGGCGAAGTACGATGTCACAACGTCGACGTCGCAAGAATTTGGCATCCTTTATCAGTACATATAATTAGGATACAATCGTAAATCGTATTCATGTAATATAAACATTTTGTCCACCAAAATGGATGACATTAATTAAAAAACTTAAGAAGCACGAATGTTTATAATATGATAATGAATAATCTCGAGCATTCAATTCCGTCATCCCACTCATTATAATAGTCGAGGAAATAAAGCACTGAACCTCTGAAATCTGTGCAGTAAGATGGATCGTGATGCGGTTTTTTGCATTCGATTCGTTAAAGCATCAGAAGTAGTAAAATTGAACTCATTTCCGGTAATATTTTCTGAGTTGTAAATTTTTCATATTTTAACTTTTCAAGATGCAATTTTAAAAATGCATTTTTCTTATATACTGATGCAATTTTCATTTCTCATTGATTACATAGGGTCACAAACTTTCTAGACGCTCTAATGAATCGAATGCAAAAAACCGCATCACAATCCATCTTACTGCACAGATTTCAGAGGTAAGGCCGTTTTTAGTGCTTTATTTCCTCGACTATAAGAACAACCGGTCGCCATGATTTCTGACTTTCAAATAAAAAATAAAATGAAAAATATATAACGTGGCAACGCATAATAGATAGATCTAAAGTCTAGTTCAGATCTACAAACAATGTTCACATACAAATGCCTGATGCAAATCCACAACATTTGCAAATAAAACCAAACGTTAATGAAATGATTTTTGTTAAGCTCCAAATGAAAGTTTAAGGACAAAAGTAGTGAGTGTTTCCACAACAGAAAATATTATTCATTCGATTTCACTATCTCAAAGAATATATCTCAAAGTGAAGCAGCTATACAGATTTTTACAGAAGGTAGCATATTTCTGAATTTAAGACAGAAAAACAAAAGACGTTAAATGATGACATATTTCAACATCGTGAAAATTTTTGAGAATGAAATTCACTGATTTCAAATTTTAATTGAAAGCATTGGTCTGTTTATGCCCATACAAAATATGCAATATACGAATAAAAGTATTTCACACTAGTTGCTTGCAGTAAAATGTTTTTAAAATTTCCTTTTTCGATGGGAAACAGAAAACACATGCACCTTTATAAGTGTTTTTACATACGTTTCCAAACTGTGTTTATACATATTTTCGTATATTTACAGGCAAAAGTTTGTAGACCTGGTCTAGGCTTAAGCATTATATTAGAACAATGCCACAATTTCAATGCCAATGTTTTGTAGAATTATTGCAAATAAATATATATTTTGTAAGAAAAGTTAACAACAAAGTTAAGTAAGTGTAAGTTAAAGTTAAGTTAAATTTTTTATATTCACTTGGGTTATCTAGTGTCTTGTTCCTTTGATAGTTGGCTAGATCAGTAATAAGGTTGAAACCCACTAGCGACACGTTATCGCTATCCCAAGCCACTACACCTGACTTAGGCCCAGTTGTGAGCAGATTTGTAACACACTGCACAACGATACGTTCCCTTGAAATTAAAGGGGACAAGGAAAAACTTCAAAAGAAGCTGATACTAATTAAGATTTGTATATTGTTAATATTTAGCAGTTTTCTAATAAATTATAATTCAATTAATGTAATTTTCAATACTTTTCCTCTTTCTTCCCAAAATTTGTGACGCATGCCTTCTAAGTGTATTATAGAGGAGGTCTTGTTGGCGTACCTTTTTAATGCTGCAATCTGGAATTGTGGGGTAGCTTAAAAGCTGCAGCACTTAGGCCCCATTGGGCCCTTGTAATTCATTCCATTAGGAGATCAATCTATCTGAGCCGTTAACTAACTTATTAAAGAGAAAAAGGCGGTGACGTTGCTCAGGAGGATCTCTCTAATATAGGCCATAAAGGCCAACGATCTCTCAACACGGATTCTCTTATTGGCGAGACAGCAGTGCATTCACATAGTACATGATTGTGGTACTGTCTCGTCTTCCTATTCACAACCCCTACAAAGAGGTGTTTAACACTTCCTCATGTTGGGAAGGTGCTTCCTTAGCCAATAGAGTCCAGTTTGAATACCTGTCACCAGGCGAAGATTTTTTTTCAATTAGAATTTCTTCCATTTTCTTTAAATTATGAAATAAACTATAGCGGGATACGGGAGGAGCTTCTACTTGGACATTGAGGTGGCATCACCTCGTCACATTAAGATATCCTCCTGGTCTAGGGGAACACTAAGGGTTGCCTAGGTTCTCCTCGGAAATTCCATCTAGTAGCCTTCGGATTACGACTCTCAGTATCCCCTCGCTTGGCAGGGAAAAGGTTTGATACTCTCTTTCCTCACTCCCCTGAGTCACCTGGAATCGTCAAGCTATGATGGATAGCTTCTCCCTCCGCCGTCAACCTAGCCCTGGTGAATAAAGGCCAACGATCTCTCAACACGGATTCTCTTATTGACGAGACAGCAGTGCATTCACATAGTACATGTGGTACTGTCTCGTCTTCTTGTTCACAACCTCCACAAAGAGGTGTTTCACACTTCCTCATGTTGGGTAGGTGCTTCCTTAACCAATAGAGTCCAGTTTGAATACTTTTCGCCAGCCGAAGATTCCTTTTTAATTAGAATTTCCTGCATTTTTTTAATCTGTAAATTAACAATGAAATAAACTATAGCGGGACGCAGGAGGAGCTTCTACTCGGACAACGAGGTGGCAGCACCTCGTCACCTTTAAGATATTCTCCTGATGTTGGAAAACATGCACGAGGACTAAGGGCATCTGTGCCTTGATTTGATACTTTCTGTCCTCGTCCGCTTGAGTCGTCCATAATTGTCAAGCGTTTACGGGTGGATGGCTATGCTCTCCCATGTCAACCTGGCCCTGGTGAATTTAATTGACTTGACGTTCATTCGGCGGCTGACGACTGTCCACTTTTCCTTTTTCCTCAAGATCACTGGCGAGAATTTCGTTTTACTGGGTGCTTCTCCGGTTACAATCCGGGCGGATGTCGAAGGGTTCTCCGCTTCCATCCTTTTAGCAGTCAAGTATAAGACCTAAATTTTTAGCCTCCTCAGTGGAAAAGACTTGTTGACCATCAAGAATTAAGGAAAAGTTAAATATATTTTTTCTATATTTCTGAGGGTCAAATAACATAATTTTAGTTTTAGCAGCATTAATACTTAAGCAATGTTTTTTTAGTAATTTCAATTAAATTTAAAATATCAATATTAATAGTCTTAATTGCATCAATTAAATTATAAGTTGGAAAAGCATAATACAACTGAGTGTCATCAGCATGGTTGCCATAATTTATGATTTTCAGATGACAAAAAATACCAATACGTCAAAGAATATACTTCAAAGTATTTTTGCAGGCAGCATATTTCTGAATTTTAGAAAAGTCTCTGTAGGATGATGACATAGGTGATCCCCTACTTAAAGTTATCTCCTGCATTCAGGCTGTTATTTATTTTTTTTCGTAAGCTTATGAATATTACATATAAATTTATAAGATTCTTATTATAAAGATTTCTTTTCTCACGTGAAATTATATTTGTAATTTGGAATAAAACAGGAATATGTTCGGCTTTTAATGTACTAAAATATAGAAAGTTCAAGAATTATATTGTATTTACAGGAGCGATTATATTAATAAAAATAAAAATAAAAATCCTCGTATTTTCAACTCATTCAATACCATACACAGCGTACTTTCACA